TCTCGTCACCTTCAACCCCTCCCCCGCATTGCGCATCGCGCCGTCGCGCGTCGTGGTTGCTGTCACTATCTCCGGGACACAGGGCTGCTATCCCCGCGGCTCCCCCCCTCCATGTCCCGAGGAATCTTCAACCCCGCATTGCTTTGACGGCCCCCCCGAATGGTGGCTATCGTTTGACTACCGAGGGAAACCGGCCCTACGGATGGAGCTGTCCGCCATGGTCCGGCATCGCCAATACATCGCCTTACATCCTCCTCTTGAGTTGAGCATTGTTAATATCTCCGACAGTGACAGCCATGGACCTGCCTTTACCAAGAAAGCTCTGGGAGCATCCAGATCCAAAGTCGACCCTCATCTGGTGGTTCATGAAAGAGGTTGAGCAAAAGAGAGGTGTCAAATTGAATGTGAGTTTGCCTATACGAAGCTTCGCCACTCTAGCATTATTGACGGTGCCACCTGTCAGACATACAAGGAATTACATCAATGGTCTGTTGACCGCCATCTGGACTTCTGGGAAGATTTGTTCTTGCTTCTTCCCTTGATCCACAATGGGAAGTACCGCCGCGTCTGTGATCCGGATGCTTTGATGGATACGCTGCCAAAATGGTTCGAAGGCGTCAAGATCAACTTTGCAGAGAACATTCTGTTCAATGCAGACAAATCAGATCCTTCAAAGCATTCCGTTTCTGGCAAGGACGATGCCAAGATTGCTCTTACTGAGGTTCGCGAGGGCTGCAAAGAAGAGGAAATCCGCCATGTTACCTGGGCTGAGCTCAGGAAGAGAGTCGGCCTGCTCACTAATGCCATGCGTGCGTATGGTGTAGGGATTGGAGACCGCGTCGCAGTCGTGTCATCGAATAGCGTCGACACTCTGGTGGTGTTCTTGGCCGTGACCTCTGTTGGCGGTATATTCAGCTCTTCATCCACGGACATGGGGACCAAAGGCGTCCTAGACAGGCTTCTGCAGATAAAGCCTAAATTCGTGTTCGTTGACGACTGGGCAGTCTATAACGGCAAGAGTCTGGATCTGCGACCTAAGATAAAAGAGATTGAGCAAGGTGCCAAGCCGATTAAGGAACTTAAAGGATTTGTCTCTATGCCTCGATACCAGGACCGGCCAGTTGACGTCAAGGATGTGCCGAGGACGATAACACTGGCCAAGTACCTTGAGCATGGCAAAGGTGATAGCAGTCTTCGCTTTGAGCGCCTGAACTTTGGAGATCCGTTCTTGATCGTGTACTCAAGTGGCACTACGGGCGTTCCGAAATGCATCATGCACTCAATCGGCGGCATACTGATCAGCAGTCTCAAAGAGGGGCGATTGAACAGAGATCTGGGGCCGACTAGGACAAATCTACAGTATACTACGGTGAGAAGAAAGCGTTCATTGTGGCTGCCCTGAACTAACATATACCCAGACTGGGTGGATCATGTATCTGACTTCAGTCCTTGGTCTCCAACACGGCGCAAGAGCTGTACTCTATGACGGGTCCCCATTCCAACCAGACCTCAAGTCTTTTGTGCGCATGGTCGGCTCACAGAAGGTAACAGATCTAGGAATCAGTCCAAAGTATCTGCAGACTTTGGCCAACGCCAAACCACCAGTCATTCCGCAGAAGGAGACTGATCTCTCCCTCTTGCATCGAGTGACCTCTACCGGAATGGTATTGCCGGAGGCTTTATTCGAGTGGTTTTACGACCAGGGATTCCCTGCTCATGTTCACCTTGCTAACATTACTGGCGGCACAGACCTGGCGGCATGCTTTGCAATGGATAACCCCTTGGATCCAGTGTATGTGGGCGGGTGCCAGGGCCCTGGGCTTGGACTGAAAGTCGAGGTGTACGACCAGACGATCGAAGGCGAGCATGTGCAAGGTCGCACGGTGCTCGATGGAGAGCCGGGAGAGCTTGTTTGGTCAGTCGTCCTTCTTCTTTGTGTTGTTCCGGCCACCTCCGTCTGATGATTCATTGTAGCACGCTCCCTTTCCCCAATCAGCCTCCCGGCTTCTTTGCCGACGATACCGGGGAGAAATATCACGCGGCCTACTATGCACGCTATTCCCACGTATGGACCCACGGCGACTTCATCTATCGCCACCCGAAGACCGGCGGGATCTACATATTAGGCCGTGCTGACGGCGTGCTCAACCCTTCCGGCGTGCGCTTCGGATCCGCTGAGATCTACAATGTCATCGAGGCGTTCTTTGCGGACGAGATAGCGGACAGTCTGTGCGTCGGACGCAGACGGAAGACCGACTCGGACGAAAAGGTCATGCTGTTCCTGAAGATGCACGAAGGCAAGCAGTTCTCGAGTCAGCTGGCACAGCGGGTCAGGGAAGCGATCGCCAAGCAGTGCAGCAAGCGCCATGTTCCGGCGTTTGTGTTCCAGACATGGGGTATTCCGGTATGTCATTGACAGTCGCTGCATCAAGCCGGATCACTGATTCTCCTATCACAGACGACCGTCAATCTCAAGAAAGTAGAGCTCCCAGTTAAGCGCATCGTCTCCGGCGAGCGTATCAAGCCCTCGGGCACTCTACTCAATCCAGAGAGTCTAGACTTCTACTACCGCTTCGCCACGGTCGAGGACGATAAGCAGCCTCCGCAGCAGCCGGTCAAGAGTCGGTTGTAGTTCATGGTCTGTATTACCATAAGACAGCTCGTCTGAGCGTGGAGAAGCTAAGGAGTCCCCACGAAGGATTGAACATCCATTTCCGGCCCACGAGGCTGATATATATTAGCGCAGGTGGATCTGTACCACAATGCGTTTCTAGAAATATAGTCTGCCACGCGGCTGTATCTACATTTCATCTATCTCTTATCCACTTTGCCCCGCTCTGTTTATATATTGAGGCTGACTGCATTATTGCCGCACGTGGGACAGAGTGGGCATGTCGGCATGTCATGTGCTACCATGTGTGCATTTAGCCTGATGTAAATCAGCCTTGCAGCGCCACTTCAAGCCACGCGGCTGAATGCAATGTCACGACCGAAGACCGAAGGGAAATGCTTGTACTACCATACTTCCGGCAATAAGACCGTCACCAATCACAACTCGACAGCACAGAGCACGACATTTATAGTACATGTTCCTTCGTATTTCGGAAAGCCCACACGGAAACGCCCATTCGGTCTAGAGAAAACAGGGCTGTCTAGATATGCTATGCCTCAGGTCATGAACAAAGGCCTCATGCCTCGAGTAATCCCAATTGCCCGCTCTGCAGTGCAACAATGGTGTCACGGACAGAAGTCAAAACAAGACTGTAGCTGATCTACGAGCTCTCATCCCTGCCGAGAAGACCGCCCAAAAGGCCAGCCACGTCACCCGCTCCGCCGAGGTCTCCGAGCAAGTCTCCCGCACCAGACGCAAGGCCGCTGAGAGCATCGCCACCCGCAGCGCTGGAGCCACCACCGCCGATTCCAAGATCGGAGCCCAGGCTGCCGAGGGCGCCTTCAAGACCGCTGGCCAGACCTGCGGCACCGCCGCCGCTACCGCCTCCGCCGAGCAGGCCGCCGAGCTCGCCGAGAAGACCGGAGGCACCGCCGCCGGATGAGGATGAGCCGGAGGCAGGAGCGGCGGGAGTGGTGGAGTTGGCAGCATTCTCGTGCTTCTTAGACTTCTCGGCCAGGACTGGGGCGACGGCAATATCGGCGGCTGCGGCAGCCGAGGTGGTAGCAGCAGCGGCCGCAGCAGAGGTGGCGGTTGCAGTGGCGGTGGCGGTGGCGGCGGCGGCACTCTTGGATTTGTGTTTGTGTTTGCGGGCGCCGCTTGCTGCAGCTGCACCGCTTGGCCGATGATGGTGCTTATGTCCTGACGGCGCGGCTGCTCCGGCGTCTTCAGCACCGCTTGGGGTGGGGAACGGGGCCGATGCACCGGATGAGGTAGGCAGGGCAGCAACGAAGGACGCGGCCAGGCTGCTGAGTTGGTCCGGGGTCAGGTCCTGAGCTACAGGAGCGGCAAAGGAGAGCGAGGCCGCGGTGGCGAGAACAAAGGTTGAGAACTTCATGGTTGTGGTTGGGAGAAGAAATGAACGACAGACGCCAGGTCTGGAAGGGTTGTATTAAAAGCGAAAATATAGATCGTGACTAGCACAGATCTCAAGATGCAAGGCAAGTAGGAAGCGCTGAACGAGAAAGTGTCATAGAGTAAGGAAAGGAGGTCAAGATATATACGGGCACGACTCAGCTCTAGGCGATACAATATCCAGGTCCGGAGCATGGTAGATGCCCGAGCGTCCGTATTGGACTTGTGGAGGAAACGCGGCCTTCGACACGTCAGTATGCAGACCAGGGTCATGGTTCGCCGAAAGCAGAGAGTCTGCAACACGGTCATGGACGGATATGGGGATAGCCGGCCTCTTCTCCGGCGGCAGACGGCTGGCCCGGGCCAGGAAAAGGTGCGTGTTGGGCCGTGTGGAGACGTGGTAGCGTGAGAAGTGGGCTTCGAGACGCGAGCTGTGAGAAGAGGCGACGGAGAAGAGAGAGGAAGAAGCAGAAATGGTAGTGATGCACAAAAGAGAGGGAGAAGCGGGAGAAGCGGGAGAAGCGGGAGAAGAGAAGGTGGCGTCAATCAGGGCGGAAATAGACTCCGAAACGCGCGTTTCATCAATATCCAAGGAGAGATGTGGGCTTGATGGGACGAACAGCAATGGCCATAATGATACCCTAGTCCGGTCAGCATCGGGCTCGTTTTGAAGCGCTGGAATTGTATTTGCGGATCTTACTTCCAGTGTTCCTGGGCGCGACTCTTCAAAATGCTGCGTCTGATTCTGGAGACAGCTTTCAACCTGGAAATCCTGGCACTGAGAATCAAAACACGTGACCTAGACCAGACCTCGACGATGCAACCTATAGATATTGCGTGAATTTGTTCTTGCAACTCGTATGCGGTCTAAATTAATTTGAGTGGGAACTTACTGTCAGATCTGGCAGATTCTGGAGGGGAAGAAGTAATATCATAGGTATATATATTTTCTAAGATTCGCTCACCTGCAAAATAAGCTTCCTTAGCTCAGTCGGTAGAGCGTCAGTCTCATAATCTGGAGGTCGACGGTTCGAACCCGCCAGGGAGCATTTTTTTGACCGCGAAACTATAGCCGCGGGTCTCCTCGGACAGCATCAGAGGTGGCATCGACGCTGCGGGCGGTACTCGAAAACACTTTGTTGAGCCCGTCGGAATGATAGACAATTGTCGAGTCCGAATGACATTCGTACAAGTCTTGTGGTCAGAGCTTTTTCGTGCTCAGTGAAATCAACCACGCGCTGTGCCTCACCGTCACAATTCAAAGTGATGTGGATATGGCGCTAGCCAATTTGTGATAGTTCAATGACCATGTTCATGCTTCCGTTTTCATCGCAGCTGCAACATCCCGCACCTCCATCTCCACCTCCACCTCCACCTGCACGTTTCACTTCTTGCTATCCGCCGGCGCACTCAGGTACGCTCAGGTACGCTCAGGTACGCTCAGGCACAGCCAGGCACCACGTCAGCCCATACACCACGATCCGTGGACCCTTGACCTGCATACTACCCTCTGCTGCATCCACATGCGCTACTCGACCCCACTGCATTCGCGGCCTTCCCCGGCACACCACGGCAGCGGATGTTGCGTGATTGAATGTCCGAGTTTCATTGATTAAATCTCGATCCGGTCTTTGCTATACTATGTATGCATGCCGACCCTGCTGTGCACCTGCGATGGCGCTTCTGACTCAGCGCGGCGCACCTAAATGCCCGTCTGCCCGTGGCATGGCCGTCCATGTCTAGCCGCCGACTTTGGTGATGAGAACAGTGAGCCACATGCTTCGCGTTGCACTCAGCCCTAGCCACCGGTGCACCCGACGTGGCACCCTGTCATCTCCCATTCGCTGCTGTAGCGCTATCAGCGTCATCATCTCCTCTTCCAGACAGGAACACAGGGATGACCCGCTGCGACACCTCACTCCCCACTGATACCCTTTTTCGCCCGCATCGTCAGATCTCGCACTCCTGCCACGAGGCTCTCCCCCACCGCGTCCACCGCGCCCTTTGGACTCCACAGGCTGGGCCCTTGGACCTGGCCTGACTTGATCCTGAAGAGCTTGATCTCTGTCCCGACCCAGATGCCTGCGCCCGTCCCTGACAGGCGCTGTGCATCGTGGGAGACCACCAGCCCCCAGTAGTAGGAAGCGTAGAGCGCAGCTATCGACGGCTGGAATCGGAATGCCTCAACCGGAGACGCGTGATGCTCGAGATCCGGGACTCTGCCCAGCTCTCGCACCGGGCGCAGCAAGTCCGTCATGCCCTTGTCCGGCGACACTCTCATTTCCGATGTCGATGCTCGACTCTCGGCTACTGGTGGGCTGACGGATTCCTCCTCCTCCGCCGGCGTCCTACCCTGCTCACTCCCCAGTAGAGCTATGAGTGCTAGCGGCGTGTGGAGTGGCAGGCTCGCGAGCTTGCTCATGAACTCTACCGATGAGCTCTTGTACTCGCTTGGACGCTTGCCTCGGGACTTCTCTGTCTCGTCGCCTTCTCTTGAGACCTCTGTCGATGATCGCCTAGAAGATGGTAGGCTCAGCGAAGCAATTGCATCTTCGTCCATGAGTGATAGTTGTCGCAGACCCTTGAAGCGGTCGCGGGCCCGCCACGTCGCGTACAGAATCGCTTCGTTCTCGTGATTTTGCTCGTGCAGCTCTATCAACGAGTTGATGGCTTCGAGTAGTATTGACAGCGGGACGATATTGCTCTCGTTTGCGAGTAGCACAGATGGTTTTGCGAGCCGCGAAAATGTCTGTAGTAGCTTGGAACTGGTCGCTCTTGCAAGTCCTACCACATTGTCTGCCACATTTCGGATGATCGTGGTCAACGACACCAACCAGAAACTGGCTTCAACCGAGTTGGACTCCACGAGTGATAGCATAGACTGCGCATAATCAGTTGGATCGTTCATCCGAGCCAATACAAGACACCTACCATGATAAAGTAGTCGGCGTATCTGCCGTGGAAGTTCTTGACCTGTATGCTCATTGGTAGAGTGTCATGCGCTTCGAATGGTCGATTGAGTAGTTCGCCAAAATTGGCATGTGCGCTCAAGGTCTGCAGGCAGAAGATGCACACTCTGCCTATTCCCTCCATATGTGCCTCCTTGGCGTAAAAGATGAGCAACACCATCAGATCCAGCGCTCTACCACTGTCTATCACGTAATGCATATACTTGCGGTTTGTGAACAACGCCTCCCATTGAAGAATGATCATCTCCGGGGTCCAACCAACAGATCTTTGTGCCATTGACAGCATGTTGGCTGATGCTTCCAGTGGTCGTCGTAATATCTTGAAGATGCCATCGGCTAAGAACTGAAAATGCTTCGGCTTGTGTAGATAGCTGAACTGTAACCGGAATTCATTCTTGTCTTTCCCGCCCTCTTCCCAGGGGGCTCGATTGAGCAGGTTGATCAGTAAGAAGTGTAGGCACACTTTGACATGGGTTTCGCGTATGTTGTCTCCCTGAGGATTGCGAGGATCAAACGGTAACCAGGAATCTGGATGGTACTTGATGATCGTGTTGAATAGCGAACACAGAAGAGATTGAATTCGCCTCTTATCGTGGTGTCGTGTGATGCATTGTACGGCATGCACACCATAGTCAATGTACTCGCCGGGACTGACGTAGATTGGCTTGCTTTCGAGCGCGAGCAAAAGCCGCATGATTTCCGTCCTCCTACTCTCAAGTTCCTTGCTCGAAACCACGGTGGTGTCGCATGCTATTCCGCTCTGCCAGAGCCCATATGACGCCTGCGCTTGCTTGCGATCGTGTGAATTAGCATCCGGCCAAGGAAGGGTGAAGCCGGTGTAGAACAACAAATCCAAGGAGGTGTCGATGAGCTGCTCTATGAGGCTTTGGTCTGACTTCATGTATGCCGATGCACCCCTCGTGTAGCTTTCGTAGAATGCCGCGTCTTGGACCCGAGAGAAGGCCGTCTCCTCCCATCGACGACTGTCGTCGGATTCGTACACATATGGCAGTACGCGAGTGAGTATTCGCACGCAATTAAGGACCATGGTGCCCGTGCGACTGTTCTCTTCCGAAAGACTGGACGCATGATTGCGCAACTTGATCATCTGTATAGTCGCCCGAAGTACCAGTGTTTTGAGATTCTCAAAGGCGACATTGTCGTCTCTCATGCTCCGAAGATCAGTCGCAGTGATGGTCTCGAAGATATGCTCGGCCGTCTCGGGCCTTGCCCAGAACTGGCAAAGGCTTGTCAGTGCTTGCGACTTAGCCGGCCTTCAACAAGACTTACGGTCTGCCAGAACTCGTCATCGCGAGGCGAAATCACCTTTCCACCGGACGATGCTCGGACGGTGTTGGCCTTGAGGTCGCTTTGAACAGCGCCCATCTTCGTTTGAGTGCGAGTTGTCGGCAGCGCACCTCATGGTAGACGCTGGAGGAAGCCAGGAACAGATCTTGAGTGACCAGAGTTGTGCTCAACGAGTGTACACTCCCTGACGTCGTGTGCGATGACTGACGGGTAGCTGTTTGAACATTAAAGCACGCATGTGACGCAGCGCGGCGGCTGCTGCGCGTTCCGTGGTTGCTCCTATGTCATTGTCTGACTCAATTCAGGGCCAGAAACGTCTTTGGCTGACTCGTTATTGCTCTGCCCTCCGCCACTTTGTTGTAGCGAGCACACCACCCAATACTACCACTTCACCCTGACATTTTGCTCTTTTCTCTAACCCCTCCCGCCTCGCCTAATGGCTCAGCACTACGTCTGATACTGCTACTGCTACTACTGTTGCTGCTGCTGCTGCTGTCGAACGGATCGCACATGAATATGAATGCAACTTTGCCCTGAGCACTACTGACTGGCAAAGTGCCTGCTTCCCAGGCTTGCAAATCCGGACTGTGCGCAAGGCAGGATGGACATTGCAAAGAGCATCTTGCAGGTGATGCTGTGCAAGCCAGACGGTGATCTTGTCGCTGTTTCAAAGGACGAACTTGATCAGTTCGTCTCGGATTTGGACAAAATTGTCTTCGACAGCTCGCCACGTTCACGTGAACTTTCAGAGGTCTAGGAAAATGTCTTCATTTGTGTTTGTAGGTTCCATTTGCTAAGATTGTGGCAGTCTACAGTATGTGTCCAATGGATCCTGGTCAATGTTGCACCATCTTCTATGCGATCACAAGCTCTGGGGAAATATCTGGTCAAAATGGCTGCTGGTGAGGAACAGGCAGGTATAGCAAATGCCAGTAGTGTCAGCTATTCCACAACAGTAGATCCAAGAAAAATCCCGCACCCCCGGTCGTCTCAGTCGGGAAAGATCACCAATCCAACCTGGTATGGACCGCTGGATGAAAGGAAGGAGATCATCATGCTCAAAGGGGCGATCACCGCATCCTTGATCCTCCGTCTCCTCGACTTGGTCATAAACGCTATCCGCACCGGGCCACTATGGAAGATATTGCCTCGTGGATCATTCCCTGTTGATATCTTTTCGCAGTTGCTAGAGCTGATTCGCATTGCATCTCCTAAGCAACACAAAGCCGCTCTGGAGCTTCACCGTGGGATGGAAAAACTACTCACGGCTTGGAAAGACGACCGTGTCTTCGACGCATCTCAGTGTATGAGACTGCGTGAACCTGCGCGGTCTTCCTACAACCACTGGCTGGTGTGGTTGCGTGGCAAGCATCCTCACGAATATCAAAAGTTACAGCAGGACTGCAAGTTGCCGCGCGCACTTGCTGATCTGCCGCGTATTCATGGCAGCCATACCGATGCATGGCACCAGCTTCCTGCCGGCGCTATCCTTCCTCACATTCGTGGCCGACAGCCAATTGACGTCACTCAGTTGCGACCAGTAGCCTTGTGCGATCCCATGGCACTCGATCCAGAACTTCTCAAAGTAGTCCAGAAGCACATCGAGAACGCAAACCGCATCTACGCCGTTCCTAAGCGCAGCCTCTACGATGATGATGAGATTGACGAAATCGAGCTGAACGGACTTGGTCTACGCGTATTCAAGGATCTGAAGACAGGCAAGCGCACCGCAGCAAAGACATACTACGGCCACTCGGTCCAATACGTTCAAG